AGATTTACTGAGATACACTGCTGAGGGGAGCAGAGGCGAGACAGGAGAGGTCTGCTGCTCCATGTGGGTCAGCTCCTTCCCTGGCCTGGGATCAAACTCCTGCTTCAGTGAGTGCTGATAGAGTCATAGTGCTGAGACTTAACTCCTTGCACCAACAGGGAGGGCCCCAACTGGCTTGTTTGAAGAAAAAGCAAAAATGTGATTTTGTATCATAATGGCAGTTGAGTGGTTGCCACAGACACCATGGCCCAAATCCTAAAAGATGTGTTCTCTGTCCCTTAGGAAAATCTGTTAACCTCTGCCTATTCTGCTATAAAGTGTGTTGCATGATTAGTGCAGATGGCAAGAGTTGAAAAATAACTAACATTTGAAACTGGGGCGGATAAGATAAAGTGAATAAAATCAGTGTGCTTTGGAATAAGTTGAAAATGAATGATAATGCAGTCAATTAAATCGGTGTATGTTTTTAAAAATATTTTTGCCGTTTCACACTGACAGAGGGATATACATTCTCCAATCTTAATATGTGACTTGCTTTGAAAGATGAATGGGTGATAGCATTGCTACTTCCAAGCAGAATATTGAATCATAAATGAAAGATTGTTTCTACTTCATACAGGCTTTTCTATCAGTCTGGGTTATTGAATGAAGAGAATATTGGTGTCTCTAAGATGAACATACTGGGCGAGAGAGTAATTGACCTTTTGCTGAGATTCGGTTTGTCTTTTACCACTAAATAACTTAGACTATTCTAGCTAAAGGAAGTGAGTATAAGCAGAAATTAAAGTAATTAGAAGTGAGGGAATAATGTAAAAACAAAGATGATAGCAAGGCATCTAACTGAAAATACAAAAATGATTTTGGGGAAAGAGCAATAAAACCATTAGAGTTTCTTTAAAGAATGTTTTAAAAGAAAATGAACAGACAACTATGAATCAGAGACATTCTGCAGGAGAGGGTGGGGGGCAGGGATCAAAACAAGGGTGGGAAGAACACACTGGGGGGACTGGGGTGATGATGCACAAGTAAACTGGTGGTGGGAATTCTTTGGAGAATATATATGTATAGACCTGAGAAAAGAAAGCAAACATTGTGAAACAATGGACAATGCTGTAAAATTTATATAGATAAATAAATTATTTTAAAATGTTTTGAAAAATCTAGAAAATAAATGTATATATTTATATATATGCATATATATGTATATGTGTGTATATATGTGTATATATATATATGTATATATATATACACATATATATATATATATATATATAACAGGTACAAAGGGCTAAAGAGAAAGAATTTAATTATTTAGCAATGGGGAGCCATGGAAGACTGTTTAAAATTGAATGACATCATCAGAATTGTGCTATAAGATTATTGGCAAGGAAAAAACAGGCTGTAAACAAAGGAATTCATCACAATGCTGGAAAAATTTACAACATGATGGAATATGGGCCAGAATTCAGATATTGGTCACCCTTGCACCCACATCCAATGAGTCAACAAATTCCATCAACTTGACTTTTATTTTTTTTAATTTGGAAAATGGAAGAGGTGAGACTTTAGCTGGTCATAAAAAATAACTGGAAAGTGGTTAAGATCTGGTCCCTAAAGAAGACTAAAACACAACCGTGTATTTCAGGGCGTACTAAACAGGAAGTTCTGGACAAGGAGTTCAATATAAGACATTCCTGACTGACTTTGTGCCCTTAAACAAACCTTGAGCCTGAAAAACTCAAGCCTTTGTGTGTGTGTCATGTGTTGATTTTTTAAAAAATAACGTATTTACTTTGAATAATATCCCTGGCATTTACTGCTTTCCACAACCATCCCAAGCCTACTTGACTTCGTAAGCACATAAACATCATCATTTTATAATTTATTTTAGCCACAATCTTTATTCTTTTGATTCAGACTTTCACCCCTTCTCCCTGGATATTTGCCATTATCTCTTGACAAGTGTCGTCTCCTTAACATGTCTATTATTATTCAACTAGTTTTGCATCACAGCTTCTTTAGCCCAGACCTCTCCAGGTTGAAGGTACATTTATGACAGTGTGGCAGGAAAAATAAATATATAAAAAAGAAATTATCGCTAAAACAACAACTCTTGCTTAGAAGTGATAAACATTCCTTCTGTTTATATTATCTTAAATGTGCCATCAGTGTGAACAGGAATGTGCAGCCTTCCTTGAGGAAGAGATGTCTGGAAAATCCAGTGATGAGTCTGAAGAATAAGGTGTGATCACCACTTTCTCTTCTGACACTAAGACAACCACAAAAGATGAGACTACCTGACCCCCTGGTGAGGCAACCAGTTAAAGCACAGAACTACGAAGCCAGCCACAGCCACTGCAGCACTAGCTCAATCCCCAACTAGGGAGGTGACACCTGTGTTACAGCAGACCTCTCCTATCCCTCCTGTTGCTCACTTCAGCTTTGCACTTCCATCTGCCTCATCTGTTCCCTTATCTGTCTTGGTGTATCCTCTCACCCTCTGCACCACTGACCTGCACCCCAACTCTTAAATAAATAAATAAGAGGCACTTTGTGTGTGTGTGTGTGTGTGTGTGTGTGTGTGTGTGTGTGTATACAGAGAGAGAGAGAGAGAGAAAGAGAGAGATTTATTTATACATATATAAAACTGGGCCAGAGTTGTGGCGGGGGGTAGGGGTGAGAGGATTCATCAGAGACAGAGTAGGGAGAAGAACAGGCAGATGCACTGAAATACACTGCTGAGGGAAGCAGCAGGAGACATAGGAGAGGTCTACCTCCCCATGTGGGTCACCGCCATGGCCTGGGATCAAACTCCTGCTGCAGTGGCTGTGATTGCTTCACAGTGCTGTGCTTTAACTTGTTGTGCCACAGGGAGGGCCCGGCACTTTATATTTCTAAATGATATATTTTTCAACACCTTTACCATTTTCTACATAGTACTTATTGTTATATTGCAATGATTGAAAAAATAAAAAAAAATACATAGGAAATTGTATAAGAAAAATCGAGAGGATTTATCAAACAATGGAGGTAGGCAAGAAAGAAAAAAGACTAAGAGTGCTTAGTTTAGAAATTTGGGCACTTGCTTGTATTCTCCTGAAAACAAAAGCAGCAAAAGCTCATGTGCATTTGAGTACCAGGGGTGATGCTCCAGGTGAC